ACAGCTTCCTCCAGAAAAGGACTAAGTATGTTGTCGGGTCTTCAGCAGGGGAAAAATGCAAGTTTAAAAAACAGGCTGTGGAATCCTCAAGCAATGCATCCTCTAACTTAATAGTCATCACCAGTTAGAATCACAGAGGATTAAATTTTGAGAGAGAGTATATTTGATCTCATTGGTCTAGTTTCTCATGGAGGAAAGCATTCAAAATTTTGACTTTCCACGTGAACTGTGTCATGATTTGTGCAAAGTTGAAAAAGGATTCATCTAACTAGTCTGCCACATGTAGTGAAAGATTTGCTCTTGGCTTTTCCCTGAAGAAAGGAAAGTGCCTCTACATGCATTCACTGCCTGCTTGTTGTAAACAGCAGGATACTCTAAAGATGTAATTACTGTCTGGGTTAGAGGTGCCCCTCAGGAAAGGGAACTTAGTGCTGAAGACTGCAATTTCTACAACAGAATTTTGGAAGGTACACCAGAGAGCTGTGTATTACCATATGCCTTTCAATGTTAGAGCCTAAAATAATTTCACTTCTTCAGGCATCTTCTTAAGGGCAGACTGACAAATGCCTCCATCTACAGAATCTACAGCTCTTCATGAGTTGGTTTTACATATATAACATTTGCCCAGAATGTTTTGCTCAGAGTGAGTTCTACCTTCCTAGGAAGCTAATTTATCTGTCTTCGCTAAACCTCATACTACCTCAGCAGGAATACTTCTTAATTTATGGAAGAGGAGACATCTTTTTTAGTGTGGACACAGCTTTTCCACATGGTGTCCGTGGCTGAATATTGAAAAGGCTGTCAGTCTGTTTACAGAATCTTATCCAAGGTGATTGAGTGTAAGAGAATGCAGTTAGGACCCACTGACCTGGAGTGCAAGGAGTTACCAACTGATTGTTCTGTGTCCCAAGAGTTGATACGTGTAGAGCTGTCAACTGGAATGTCACAGGCATTTTCCTTAAGTGTTACATACTTTGAGAATTGTCAAGGAATATGTTTAATTTTGGGATAATCGTTATTCAATTTTTTCTTTATTAGGAAAACTGAAGACAATTATGAATGGATACTCCTTGAGTTCATGTGTAGTATGAATGTATGTAGATACAAGCACTTGAAGGAATGAGTTACTTAACTGTAGCTTCCTTTCATCCTTAAGAAGTTCTTTCAACTATCTGGACTCTGTTTTCTCTTTGGTCTGACCCTTTATTAGCATCATTAGAGGCTGAATGGACACTTTGTGGAAGAAATTACCACATCTGTTAATTCTACTTCATTTCTTTGATTAGTAACCACACTGCAGAAGCAGGAAACATTAATTGTTTGACTACTGTTAGATCTGAAGTCAGCAGTGCTTTCTGGTAGTTTAATAATTCTAAATACCAATCTGTATTTGAATGTTCAGGATTTAAGGATGTTGCTACAATTTAGTGCTACTTTAAGATGAGAAAGTCGTACAGGTTTAGAAATACCAGATTATCTTTGTAATTTAATTAAAAAAAAAAAGAAAAAAGACAGACCTGACTTTTTGTTTTTCTGAAGCATTTTTGTGGTTGAGACTTTCTTCCTAAACAAATAGACACAGATGGAGGTAAAATGTCAGACATTTAGATAAAACTTTGTAGATTGGGAACAAATGAGCTTTCTAAGTAAATGGCAGATTTTTCTCTTTAGTAATGTAAGACACCAAATAGGATTTAGTCTGCAAGTAAGACACCCCATCAAGCGTTGGAGCTAGATGTCTAAACTCTCATGTAACCAATGGAAATCCAAGGCTAAACTTAATTGCCCATGATTGAACTTCAAATATCATTTCAGATGGCTTTGTACATATGAGGTGGTTCCTTTAGGAGATTCCCACCCTTCTGGATTGGCACTTGTAAGTGAGTGGGGGCGACATAGCGCTGAGGGATATGGTGTAGTTGGGAACTGTCAGGTTAATGGTTGGACTGGATGATCCTCAAGGTCTTTTCCAACCTAGACGATTCTGTGATGGGGTGATTCTTTGATTCTGTGAAAGAATATGGAAAAAGGACAGGAACAGGCTTTCATTGCCTTGCAGTTTCTAGCATTATAAGTGATTTATTTTTTATTTAATTAATATTTTTATTGTTTTTTTAATGTTACACACTTTGCTAGCATAAAATAAAAAGATGGACTTAAGCAAGGAGGAAAAAAAAAAAAAAGTAGCAAGCAAACATTACTTCACCAGAACTTAAACCAGTCAAATAATTTTTGAACCCTAAAAGCTTTTCTTAAGTAAGAAACTTTTAAACATAAAATTTAATGCTATTTTGTAATATTTTGGTATTTGGCTACTTAACATACTGTTTTCTAAATTTTTCTGAATGGTTTTGATATTTTACAAACTTTTTTATTTTTTGAAGTCCCGACTTATGCCAGTCAGAGCTTTCTTGCCAGCTCCTTCAGCCCTTCAAACAAGTTTTATGGCTTTATGAAACAGGACTTTGCTTTACAAAGCCATGTTGCATTTATTCATACTGTCTATTTATTTGTGCTGCATTTATTTTAATGTAACTCATTAATTTTGTTCTCTCTTAGTAGAAAAGTCAGTCTTACCAGTTTGTAGTTGTCCTGAAAATGTCCTTATAAATACTGATATAATTTCTTCTGTCTTCCTTTTCTTGGGTGTCATTGTGCTTTTCAGTACGAACTTTAAGGAAATAGCATGTACTATTGCTTTTTCCTTAATTTTCTTCAAAACTATGAATGTTGGCATTGTTCTTTAACTTCTTCTGCCAACTTTTGAACCTGCCTGTGTCTCTCTTCTACATTGGGACCTTCTTTCACACACCAGTAGAACATTTGATGAAATGTTGCTGTGGCCTTTGTTTTCTTTGGGTACTCCTTTCACTGTGATCTTTTACCGATCCTTCAGTTTTTCTGGTTGTTTTCCTCCTTTTGTTATCTTCAAGGAAAAAGATGTATTAATCATAGATGCTTTTTGCAAGTTGTTCCTCCAACGATTTTTTTCTTTTGATCTGTTTTAAAAAAGCTTCATGTTCAATCAGCTGAAGCTTTAATTTTTATTTTATCCCCACTTGTGTTTTATTTTCTTTAGATGTCATAACAAATAATTATTGTCTAAGACTGGAGTAAGTTATAGAAGTCCATCAACATTTTTATGCAGTTGATTTAAATAATTTAGTGTGCTTTGTCCTATTGATGTCTATAAAATAGAAGCAAGTTTTCTTTATTATTATACAAATTTAGGTATGTGCATGTACTGAGTTTCATAGAAGTTCTGTTGTACTAGACCTTAATTTCAGCTCTTCAGTCAAGTAAGAGGAAGGAACAAATCTTGTTCTGTCCTCCTATTACCTTGCGTCATCAATAACTTTAAAACAGGATGTTGTATGATGAAACAATATAAGAATAGATTCTGTCATGGCAGCTTTTCTCCAGGAGAGGTGTTGGATGGGTTAGTATAGTGGTTCCAACCACATCATCCCATGTGTCTTCCCTTGAGCATCCTTGTCCTCTTGAGCATCTCTGGAAGTTGCAGAGATGGTCCCAACTCCTGGCGCAGAGCTGTGGGGCCCTTGTAGTTGTCTCTCCAAGTGACTCCAAATACCATCATTTACGGGATTGACCTCAATGTTTGAATAGGTATTTCCTTCACAACTACTTCTTCCTCTCAGGTTCTCCTTCTTAAATATTTTATCAGAGAGGCACAGCCACCATCACTAATTGGCTCGGCCTTGGCCAGAGGCGGGTCTGACTGGGAGCAGGGGGAGCTTCAAGAAGCTTCTCAGAGGAGCCATTTCTGTAGCCACCTGCTCTGCTACCAAAACTCCACCACACACAAACCCACCACACATACTTGCAATCCTTTCAGTAGGATAAATGTAGGATCATGGTTGTATTACCATTTAATCTTAGCAAGTTTCTCTTGGAAACCTAATGAGTGCTGCTGTTTTTTACAGTCTATATCAAAGCTGCTAGTCCATCTAGTTCTCGTGACTTTATGTAAATTCAGTGCTATGAATTATTTGTACTTTGAAGATGGCCAATACCGTATGTTCCCAATATTACCGTTTGCCTGACCACAGCATAATACATCATCATTTTCCAGATTATAAAAGGCTTTACAACAAAGTGAGCCAGATTGCTTTATTTGTTTACATAGTATATTAGGCCAGAAGACAACCCTAATTGACTTGTGCTTTTAGAAACACCTTAAAATGCTGGAAATACATGAATAACATATTTCCTGTGCATTGAAGCAAGATGTGAAAACAATAACTGGGTGAAAAAAGGAAATAATGGCTGCTGTCATCCTTATTTATGATTAAGAATAAGCTGTGATTGTTCTAAAGGCTTGTGAATCTGGACAGTGCATTCCTGCTGCTCCTTGCTATGGGTTTTCAAGATGAATCTCTTGATGCTTCAGAGGAGAGACTACTCACTAGTTGACTTGATGCTTGCTTTTGAGCTGAATTACTGGTTCCCATGAAATATTCTATGACACTCAGTATGTTTAAAGAGGGAAGATTTTTAAGAAGAAGGGGGAAAAGCGTGTCCTGTTCTTCAGGCTCAGTTTAGTTTAATAAGCATTCTGTCTTCAAATATGTTTTCTACTGTTCACACAGGCTTTAGTCATCACCATTTCTAATACATCAGTTTTATATATATCTATAGATAAATGTGTATTTACATTGATTTTTATGTGTTGAGAGTTATGCCTATCAAAGTATTTACTACCTGGTGAAGTTCATTTACTAAAGGAACTTGCTATTTATTTAATGGTATAATTCAATGGAGTGAGAAAATACTTCATTTTTATGGAAATTTGTGAGCTAGTGTTTGGTATTTATAGCTCGTGTAGCTGATAAGAAATTTAATTATCTTAATTATAAGATTACAGTAGATTGATAATCAGACATGGTGTAATGTCTAATTACTAGTTTGTTTTGTCTTTTTGACTGTGATGTATATTGAAACCTAAGAAATAAAATAGTTTAATATTTTCTCTGTTACAGGTAGCTTGCATGCAGCTCATCAATGCTCTCGTTACATCTCCTGACGACTTGGATTTTAGGCTTCACATCAGAAATGAATTTATGCGCAGTGGATTGAAAGAGATACTGCCAGTAAGCGTCTTGTAGTCTCTCTCTGCATTACTATTTAAATTATTGGACTATTTGAGCTTGAGAGGGGGAATGGGAGAACAAATTCTAATAAATTATTCTCAAGGGCATTTTATTAAGTCTGGGTATGAGCAGTTAGATATGAGAATTAGTTTTAAAATAAGAATGAAAAGGTGAGGTATCATCTCTGAACTTTATGCTGATTCCTCCGCATTTTAGGACTTTGATTTAGAACATGTGACAGACTGTTGTGCAGATGCTTGTTAAGCCAGGCTGAAGCTGTGTTTACCTTTTGAATATTTAACTTAACTCATGTGTTCTTGTAGTTTTAAACTTTAAAAGAACATAGACTTATGGAAGTTATTAAAAAGATAAGGTTTATTTACATATGGAAACATTAATTTTCCAAGCCTTTCTACTGTTTCCTCTTTGCAGCAATTGAACTGTATAAAGAATGAAGCACTAGATATTCAGCTGAAAGTGTTCAATGAGCATAAGGAAGAAGACATGATGGAATTCTCTCATCGTTTAGAAGATATTAGATCTGAACTAGAATATCCTTTTGATATCAGTAAGAGAAACATGAATAAAATAAAATAAAATGTATGGACATTTTTCTGGAATAACTTCTGTTTAAAGAAGATATCAGTCAATATTTGACTGAAATATTTTTTTCCTTGCTATTACTCTCCTTAACACTTTTACTGAAGTAAATGATGTTTACAACATGGTGTGGAACACAGTTAAGGACACTAGTGCTGAAGGATATTTTCTTTCTATTCTGCAGCATCTTTTGATGATAAGAAATGATTATTTTATACGGTATGTTTAATGCTATGTTAAATGTTAATTATGGATTTTGTTGTAATTTAGTCATTAATAGAATATTTCTTCCATAAATTTAATGATAAATACAGTTTTGTCTTTTTCTGTTTGGATTGCCATTTTTAAGTATTCCTTTGTGAACTCATGTTCAAAAGTATCAGCTCTGTATAAGAATGCCATATATATGTTTTTTTCCCTTCTGCTTAGGATACGTTTTTATATGTAAGTATGGAAAACTGTTTTTGTTGAGATCTTAACCTTACTGACTTCAAGTGATCAGGACAGGTTTATCAAGGAGTTATAAATCATGGTATTAGCATTGTAATTTTGTGGTGTATTTGAGTTAAAGGACAAATCTAAGTATGCACTTTATACAGAAATTTGAACATATGCTTAATTTAGAGTAACTTTTGGTCGGGAATTGAGTAGTTTAAATATACATTATAGGTCATTGTGAACATGTTAGTGTCTCTTGGAAAATGCATCAGATAAATTGCAGGGAAATATTTAATAAGTTTGAAGTTGCCAAACACTTTCTAGAATCTGCTTGTGTTGTTTTTGAGGAAATGCTGGAGGAACCAGATACAAACTGAACAGGGAAGGAAAGCTGTCTGTTTTCTGCATAGCATTCTGCATGACCTTGCATTTCACGCAGGGTCTAGTACAGATGCACCCTTAAAGGTTTAGAGTGCTTGCCTGATGTGGGTGCACCTGTGCTACACCTCTTCTACCTGAAAGGGTTTGAATTCACAGCTTGCATGTTCTGGGCAAGTGGTCCAGCTGTCATACCCCCTGGCATTTTAGAACAAAGTGTTTTTCATACCTCTTATGGAAGCAGGGCTGCAATGTATTTATAGTTACACAAGTGTCACAGAACCAGAAGGGATCAAGCTGAATAAAGAGCCCCCTCTTTACTGGGGGGAAGCAGGAGGTACTCTGTCCTTTTATTTCCATAGTGTGGAGAGATGCAGAGTTTATAAGAATTATCTTTACATCCGCTGTTTTTTCAGGCTTTGTATAAACTGTTCTTATGTAATAAACTGCCAGATATATTTGTCTGTCGAGACTTTTGGGGTTTGCACTTATCTTTTTATGGAAATAAGTCAGTCCAAATCTTTTGACCTTACTTTGTTCATAGACAAGATTTTAAGTATATGTTGATAAATAAATATGCTATAAAGATCTCATTTCTGTCTTTAGTCCACAGTATTTCAAATTAATTGAAGAATGTGTGTCCCAGATAGTGTTGCATCGAAGTGGAACGGACCCAGATTTCACATATCGTAAAAGATTAGATATAAATTTCAGTCACTTAGTAGGTAAGTACTGTGTTTGGGAATGCTTATAGTATCATACTTCTTTATGTGTTCCTAAAACAAAGTTAAAGTTGTACATGTGGTTAAGAATCTTGTGTTCCCTGTATATGTGCAAGTGTGTTTGTTTATTTTTTCAAGATATTTGTGTAGATAAAGCAAGATTAGAAGAATGTGAAGAGAGGGCTTCTGAACTTTCCAGAAAAGTAAGTAATTTTTAAGTTATATTATCATAAGATGGACATAGGGCTTTAATTAATAACTTCATGAATGGTGTAACTGAACATGAAATAGTTTTCAACTTAGTATGTTTAAGTGGGAATTTGGATTTTTCTTGTGGAATGGGAAACAGAGGAAAGTGGTGTAATATAGTTAACCTGAATTGAGAGTTTTTCTACTATTTATTTTAAGGTTTCATATACAAATCTCCCACAAATAACTGAATATTTAAATATTTACCAGTTTCTTCAAGATAAACAGTGGGAGAATAACTGACTGATTTGTATCTATGGACTCCGTATTACTGTACATCAGTTCTTTAAGCTACTCTAATTCCAATTTAAAATACCTTGAGTAGTTTATACTATTTCAAATGGTGAAGACTTGTAGTAGTAAATAGAGGTGATACTTCTACACAGTAGATACATGGAATTTAGAATAGCAGATATGTTGTATGTGTCCTTAGTATTGTTAACATGTGAGTTTTAACAAACACAAATGTTGAAATCTAAAGAAACTATCAACAATTTTCTTCTTTTTTTTTTTTTTTTTTTTTTTTTTTTCTTTTTTTTTTTAGTTTGAAAAAGATTTCGTAGTTCATCAGGAGACTCAGGCCCTATTGCAAAAAAAAGAAGAAAGAATCAATGAACTTGAAGCAGAATTACATGCTTTTAAATCACAGGTAAAGACAACTTAAATGTATGAAGTATTTTTTTTGAGAGGAACTTAATTTTGTATCTTTAGTAGATTCTGACAGCACAGTGGAGGATTTTTTCCAAAGAATCCTTGTTATCGATTATTATGGACTGTTAGTTTCCTTTATTTCTATTTTATACGAAGAATTGTAGTGTGACATTAATTAGCAGTTTGAGTTCCCAGATGATCCTTTTTGTGCCTGAGCTCTGTTAATTAAACTAGTTTCTTCTATTTCATTTGGGTTTGCTTTCAGTGTCATATTTCCAAAGTAATTAACCACATTGGGTAATAAGTCTTATGCTTTTAGATTAGCATTCATCACTGTGATCTTTATCCCTCCACAGGAAATTATTCATTATGCAGTTTGCTTTGCTGAATCCTTACCGTGGATATCCAGCAGTGAAAGAAATAACCTGTGGCTGGATAAGAACATTTCCAGATAATTTTTCAATTTTCAGGCATAAATAGATATTTTAGAATGTGGAGAGGAATAGTGCTGGTTTTTGAGTGTAATACTTGAGTTAGCTTGTAACTGCTTCAGCTCTAAAATCTGCGTAAGGAGACTGTGTGACCAAGGGATTTTTCCTGTGTCTTATTTCCTGGAATAACAAGCACAGTCTAAAAATGGATAAAGAGAGACAGCATTTGGGAGACATGCATATTAGGAAGGTGATAAAATACATGTTTTGATCATAGTGGGGTTTTTATACTCTTAAGCTTGTTTAATTTTCTTAGTGAGGAAAATTAGTTTAGCTCTTCTTTGGTCTGTTCAAAAATGTCATTCTAATTCAGTTTTCTGGTCAGAATTAAGTGTTAATGTCAAAGTCAAATGGGCTTTAAAAAAGCAAGTACAGAAATTGTTGCATTCTAAAAATATTATTTCAGTGAGAGCTGTATATCATTCATTGAAGTAGTGTGGATCTTGAAAACATACTTGCATACTTCTTGTGAGTGAAATAGGTTTTCTCGCCTATTTTACTTCGTCTTGTTCACTGTATTCATTATTATCTTGTTTTACATGCAGACAGTGAGCATAACACCTGATTATGCTCACTAATGATCATACCATGAATTATCCTGCTGTTAATGGGATACTTGGAATGTTTTGTAAATATCAAGTAATTGATTACTGCAATTTAGTAATCTTAAATCTCTTAAGAGGAGTCTTTTCAGTTGCTGCTTAGTGTGGCTACTTATTATTCTCATAGTCTTGTTCCTTTACTCTCTTTTGTGGTATTTGGTATTTGTTTATGTATTTCTTTCATTATTAGAACCTAATTGTTCAGCAGCTACATGTAGTACATGTATTTATTTCTATTTATTGCTGTTCAACTATTTCTTTTTAAAACTATTAAATCTTTTGCTTATTGTATTTCTCTCCATTTTTAAAAAATGACTTGTTTCAGCTCATAATTATCAATTGAAAAGTTCATCAATACTATCACCAGTAGATAATTTTTTTTTTTTTTTTTTTTGGTCAGGTGCCTATTAATGTTTGAAAGCCTATGATAGAAGTTCTTTAAGTAGTAGAAATAAATATTTTTTTTTTAGACTTACAGAAGTGCTAATAAACCTATCGATACAGTATAGATGACCTTATTGTATAGAATAAGAAGTTGGTGTGTAAGGCAGTAGTATTTTTTGGAAGGAATTTTTTTCATCATTGCTTTGTTCTTTCAATTCTGTACAATGAGAATGCTCCTATATTGGAAAATACCTGTTTTTCAACAGAACTACTAATCTCTTCAGATTCTACTGTTATGTCCTTGGAATATTACTCTGTAATGTGAAGGATAAGTAAGAACAAGAGAGACTAGGATGTTACTTTTTTAATTTGAGCTAAACCGTAGTAGTCTAGAAAAAATTTCATCAAGACACCTATCAGACCCGTCTTAGATCATGATCAGTGAAATATGACAAGTAGGATATATCATTTCAGTTTATCTTTTTGGCGTGAACCTCCTGGTATGAATGTTGGTCTCATTATAATTCATATTTTGATTATCCTATACAAGAAAAATGTCACTGACTTTCAATTGGCTTGCTGAATTTAATCTATAAACTATGATTGTTATGGCATTTTTTTGATTAAAAAAGGGTGAAACTGAATAAAAGTATTTTTCTCATCAGTACGGCTCTTTGCCACCTGGTTTTGTACCATCAACACGTGGAGATGCATCTGTTGTTCCACTGGAAGCTGCAGGACCACATCGACTTCTGCCTCCTCCTCCTCCACTGCTGCCTTCTAATGGAGCAATTCCACCACCACCGCCTCCTCCCCCTCCTCTACCACTTCTGAATGGCTTGGGAATTCCTAGGGGTTTTGGTGTTGCTCCTCCACCGCCACCTCTACCAGGCCTGCCTGGAGCACAGTGGTCTCCACCTTCATGTACTTTGCCATTTGGAATGAAGCCTAAAAAAGAATTCAGACCTGAGGTTACCATGAAAAGACTCAACTGGTCTAAGGTAGTACTGATGAATGTCAAATACTCGATGTAAAATCTTACCTACAGTTTAGGGTAAATAGATTGTCAGGAGTAAGACTAGATAGAGGAATTGATACGTTAGTTAAAATTATGTAAGATACAGGTACTTTCTGCCCTTATGTTTCATTGTTTTCTGAAAACTGTTTCACTGACTCCTGAATTATTTGGGCAAGTATCTGTTGACTTTCTGAATTGCCAGGAAAAGTAATTTCTGGTCTAGAATAATATGACCTTGATACCATCATGATTCCTGGGTCCTACAATGCCTTGTTTAGCAAACTCTTTACATTGGATCAGTCACTGCACTGTACTGATAGCTATACAGTTTCCAAACAAGTGTCTTGCATCTATCTAGCCTGGACTGTGGCAAGAAGCATTGCAGGTGTTTCCATTTGTTCTTAGTGTAAATGTACTTAGGTAAATTTAATGGTTGAAAAAATGCAGAGTCTTTCTTTTTTTTTCTTCTCCACTATGATGGGATCAAGTATGCCTGGACTATTAATCTATTCAGTTTTGGAAGCTCTAATTATTTAGACCAAAATAAGTTAATAAAAAATTTTTAAGAGCTTTGTGAAGCAATCAAAGCTACAGTCTAAAAAAGTACTTAATATCTAGTTAAACCAGCTGTGTTCAGAGATTATTTAAAGTTTACCAAGTTTTAACTCTAGACCAAAGACAATTTGCTACATTTAAACCATGGATAACAGAGTGTGCTGTCCTGTATTCTTAGAATCAGTTTGTCTAAAAGCACTTACTGTAAGCATTATTATTTACAGTCATAAATATATTAACAATTATAAAATGAGTTATATACCAAAAGTTCATGTGCCTTATAGAGATCTTAAGTATTTAATTTGCTTTCGACTCTACAGAGCACAGTCTCTGGATAGTGTCAAAATAATTTAATCAATAAAATTTTGTTTTGTCTCTTGCTTATAGATCAGGCCTCAGGAAATGACAGAATCCTGTTTTTGGGTTAAGGCAGAAGAGGACAAGTATGAGAATGCTGACATGCTTTGCAAATTGGAACTTACATTTTGTTGTCAAAATAGGGGTAAGTAATTGATTGTTTTAATTTTCAGCTTTTAGAGGTATCTTTAAAATTCTTGGGGCTTAAATATATATATGAAAAATTTTAGAATATAATATTCATGTTCTGTTTTTTTAGTGGAACGTGTGAAGAAAAAAGTTCGAAAATCCTGTACTACTTAAAGCAGTAATACTGGAATATTTTACTTAAAGGGTGACAAAAATTGTGTCACTTACAAGGAAAACCTTACCAAAAAAACCTGAGAAACGCTTCTGGATAATACAGACTTTAATCAGTCACGTTTGAAAACATATTTATAAGATTTTGTCAGAACACCTTAATAAAATACTGTGATCTAATCTTGATTCCAGAAGGTGTTGTGTTTACCCTCAGAATGCACGTGATAATTGATGTGCTTTGGCTCCATGAGGGAGGAGAGTTTTAATGAAATTTTTTACTTTCTGATAAACCTGTAGCAACTTAGATCTCTTGATATTTTGCTTAGCTTCTTCAGCTTTTAAAACCTTGTAGAAAAGCAAAATATTTGAAAGTATTCCTGGCTTTAGATTTTTTATCCCTTTCTGGAAGTAAGTTGTCTCACTAGTAGTTTAGATAATTCTGCCCATATATAAAATGCGTATATTTACACTGTTGTTTCTTGACATCTTTTTTTTCCTCCCCCCTTGATAAGTATTGCAGACTTAGTACTTTGGGGCAGCCAGAGGGGTGCAATCATTAATTCCTTTTCAAATTGAGAAGTCATTATTATTTTCTTTAGTTTGTTTTATAAATTTCACTTTGATATTTTTATTTTAATATAGTGCATAACATTGTTAAGGGGAGGGGGTTTGTTTGTTTTTTTTTGTTGTTGTTGTTGGTCTTTTTTTTTTTTTTTGTGAATGCTTTGGTGTATCATCCAGTATTCTTTTTTTTACTATACCAAGAACTTTATTCTGTTTTTGTCAAAGCAGGCTTTTTATGCTCTAGCAGTATTACTATGGAGTTGAATATTAGAGTTTATTACTGTTGATACTTAATAATATTAAGAAAGTTGTGCAAGGATAAAAAGGCAAGAAAACCTCACGGACCATAGGCATTTTTTTCTTGAATCTATCAGAATAAGTCTAAAAGTTAATTGTGATGACTTTATAATGTTAGAAGAATTCCCAGAAATGTTCCCTGAATTAATAGGTTGGAAGGTTTAAAAGCTGCTGGAGTAAATACTGTTTTCTATGTGTAATTAAACAGTAAAATTTGGGAGACAAGATGATGTTCAGGCCAAACATGTTAATGGCTCAGAAGAGGATTGTGAATCTCCACAGACAACGAGAACATTAGAGTTAACATGATTAACATTCCCTCAAAGTTTAAATGAATGGGCTGAATACATTGTCCTGACAAAACCTAACAGAAGAGATCTACAGATGAAAAAGGAGTGTACTCTTATACCAAATGATGGGGTTAGGGGGGAGGGCAATTAAAAGGCTATAGCCTGCAGGGAGAAATCTATTTTTTTTCTTTTACAGGTGGAGTTTACTGTTTAATCTCTTTTTTAAGTTTTGAAATATCTCTTATCTCGCATAAGTCGTGTAAGTGTGCCATTATGTTAACTTTTCAAAAGGAAGTGGAGACACTAAAGATTTAATTTAGAACAGTAAGTAGGTGTCTAAAGGGCAACATGGAACTAAATTTCATCTTTGTTCAAGTGATTAAAAAAATTAAATTTGCATTCATGCTTAAACACATAAGTAGACAGCACCAGACATCTCAGTGTCTCTTATTAAAAGCATGAATTATAGTACATATAGGACAGCAAAGTAACGGCTTTTGTTCTCATGATCATGAAGAAAGGGGATGCTTTTTTGTAGCTTATGCATAACTTACTGATTATAACAAAACTTGCCAATGAAACTGAGGATGGCCAGATTTCTTCATTTCTCAGTCATGAAGAGATTTAACACCATGCTTTCTTAAAGTAGAATCAGCAAGATATTCACTAGACTCAATTTGGGAACAGTCCTTGACTATTTCTAAAGCTTTGTCTCTAATACCAGAAAGACAAGAAGTTGAAAATAATTCTGTAGCCAAATGACAGCATGCAAAGAATGAGCTGGTTTGCACTCCATTGAGGGTCTGCTTATGCACTCTTCATTGAAGTCATTGTGTTAGAAGAGGTATCTAGTTGTGGAAGCAGGGACAAAAATGTTAATGATGCTTTAAGTGAATTTTATTCTGATTAAGCAAAATCAGATTGAAGTACTCAAATGTTCAGTTGGTGTATTTTGCCAGCTGATGTGCCAAAAGTATTTCAGTGTTGATCCAGAAGAGGAGGTCTTATGTCTATGTTAATAATGCATTGAGGAATTTCTACTAGAAAAAGGAATACAGAACAGTGTAGAATAGAGCTGAAGCTTTAGCAGATGTTTGTATAGAAGTTATAAATGATGTTGATTCTGAATGGGTATTGAAGCAACTGAAATAACTGAAGATGTTATGGAGATATGAAAGAAACATTACTGTAAGAATAAGAAAGTAAAAGAGAATCTAGGTTCAGAGCATAGGAAAAATAGTGAGCAAAGACTATACATGGAGGAAAAAAAAAATCACTTTTCTTGAGTCCAGAGACATGTCCATGAATCATGGAATAATTTTAGTTTGGAAAGGACCTCTGAAGGTCATCTGGTCCAATCTCCTTTGTAAAATGATCAATCTAGTTCATGTTGCTTGGGGCTTTTTCTAGCTGAATTTGAAATATCCCTAAAGATGGACATGCAGGGATGGACAACCTGTTGCCGTGTTTGTCACTATTGTGGTGATTTTTTTTTTTTTATAACGTCTTTTTGAAATATCTCTTGTTGCTATTTGTGTCTGTTAGCTCTTGCTCATTGTGTACCTCTGAGAAGAATCTCTTTTCCTCTTATCTGTAGCCTTCTGTTAGGTAGTTTGAGACAGTAGTAAGAGTTACCTTGCCCTTTATCCTTCTCAAGACTGACAGCTCTCTCAGTCTTTCTGTCTGCATGTTATGTTTCAGACCTCTAATCATCTTGTTGATTTTCTGCTGTACTCATTGCATTATATATTTTTCTTGAAATTGGGAGAGAGAAGGACAGCAGAGGGAAAAAAAAAATCATTTCTTTGTCTTGCTGACAAGAGTCTTTGTAACTTATTGGAGGAAATACTCTCACTATGCTGTGTTTTTAATAATAATAATAATAATAACAACAACAACAATAATGTGATAATAATAATAATAATAATAATAATGTGATAATAATAATGTGATAATACTAATAATAATAATGTGATAATGATAAGTCCATGTAAGGGCTATGGGTGGCATAGGATATTTTCTTTTCATTCTTTTACTTTTTATAAAGCTGGATTTATCACTTCCCAGAAATGGAACCATTTTGTGAAAGCAATGTTTTCTAAAAGTTTGAGCTGGAACAGTGAGAAGTATCAAGGCATCATTTGCTGATGGTATTCTTGTAGCAACTTACTCAAGACAAAGTTTAATTTATTTATTGACTCAGAAATTATTTTTGTCTCAGAATAAATCTGATCTGAAATAAATATATGTATATGAAAGAATTAGAGAAGGGCATAATTGGAAAACAAACTCATTTGTCTTAAACCCACATAGATTTTCTGATACACAGGGAATGTGGCAGGAGAATATTTGTTCAGAATTACAGGTCAGTGGATGGAACATTTTCAATGTGAATATTTGAGAAAAGATGTGAATGTGACTGAAAAGTGTACATACATTTAAAATATTTGCAAGAAAACACAAGAGTTTTTTGTGAGATACCCCAAGAAACAAACATTAATGTGGAAGTAAGGTATGCTCCATAGCTCTTACCTGTCTGGGAGGGGAAAAAAAAAAGTAATTGAGAAGTTCTGAAAATAAGGTGATGAATGTGAATCATTTGCATGAATCATCTTTTGGTTTTCTGATAACTTTTCTTTTTAAAGGCAAAAAGAAGGATTGGTATGAAGGGTAGTTAGAGACCTGAAAGGAAAAGAAATAATAAATATTAAGATTTATCAGGATTATACTCATTATTGCACAACAATGTAGAAAATCTGTGAAAAGCATTTTTTGGCAACAGTGGTATCAAAGGAATCTCTTACTATAATTCTTTTGAAAACATTAAACCGAATATATGAATTAAAGTTAACTGGTATGTGAAATACTGAGTAGCAGAGTTGAAACAAACACCTTATATGTGCTTCTATATTATCTTAAGCCTAAAAGATGAGATGAACAAACAAAAATGCTCATTATTGAATTACAACCACTTGATAATAAAGGTGTTGTAAGCCTGATGAAAGGAGAATAATCACTGGTGTAGGATGTTAATATGTTGTCGTCTTTGCTAGAATAATGAAACGTACAGGCAGGGCAGTGGCACTTTGCATGAAAGCATGAAGTGTAGCGTGATGAAAATCTTGGGGGGGGTGGGGGAGGAAGCTTGCTGTGCAAAATATATTATTGGAAGGAATTTCCATTTACAACATTGTGCTGTATTAATAGCTCTCAGATCAGATGATGTTTGTGATGACAAAATGTTAAGTGAGATTAGAGATGGTGCAAATTTTATGGCAATAAAGCAGGAGACTTAACTACTTGCATGTGAGTTGAATTGATTCCTCATCAGGATGTTATGAGAAGATCAAAACTTTAGCTGAAAGAAGTGACTGTTTACAATATTCCTGTAACCAGCGTGAAAAGGAACTGTTCTGTCAATGGGATTGAGTCGTGCACAGGACCTAGGAGGTTAGAGTAGGAGAGAATGATCACTATCTTAATGTACCAGGAGAGAACAATCCAAGTAAATCTATTAGAGAAGTATTCAACTTCAGGACAGGGAACTAAATGAAAGCTGCAGATGGCCAAGCAAGCAAGATACCTATGCCTACTACCAATCCAGAGGCTATTCTGAAAATGCTGTCTTAAAGATTTGAGTAAAATTTGTATTGTAATTCAGAGAAAGCCCAACTAAACTATGGGGTAAAAAACA